TGAGTTAAATGGTAGAAGAGCTTTTCAAAGTAGCGACTGCCACTCTGAAGGAGAAAGATGAGGCTTTATTCTCTCTAAAAGATTTTAAAGCCTTGGAAACCCCATTATACAGGGTCATTATGAGTCAGAGCTAATTCCATGGCAAGCATCCTGATGTTTCTCCCGAGGAGCAGTTGGTGGGTTTAAACTACTGACCTTGCAGTTAACAGCCCAGTGGCTTAACCCCCTGTGCCACCAGGAGTCTTTATAAGTAAAAGAAGAAGGCAAAAGAATCAGAATGAGAGGGATGGCAGCATGAGAACTTGGCCTGCTTTGAAGAACCATGAGTTGCAACCATCTCATGGAGGGAGCAGTTAAGAAATCTAGGCAAATCTGCTGCACAAGACTCCTTAAAGTGTTGAAGAGCGAAGATGTCAGTTTGAGGACTAAGTTGCACCTGACCTAAGCCATGGTATTTTAAATGGCCTCATGTGCCACCGAGTCGGTTCCAACTCACAGTCACCCTGTACAGAACTTCCAAGGCTATAAATCTTTACGGGAGCAGAAAGCCTTCTCTTTCTCCAGTGGAGTGACTGATAGATTCGAACTACTGGTCTTACATATAACAGTCTATCTTGTAATCCATTAAGCTATCAGAGCTTCTTCAATAGCCTCATTTGCGTGTGAAGGTTGGACATTGAATCAGGAAAATCGTAGAAGAAATGAACGCATTTAAGTTATGGTGTTGGAGGAGAATATTAAAAGTACCATGGACTGCCAGAAGAACAAATATGTGTTGGGAGAAGTACAGCCAGAAAGCTCCATAGAAGCCAGGATGGCCAGAGTTCGTCTCTCATTACTTTGGACATATTATCAGGAGGGACCAGTCCCTGGAGGAGGAAATCATGCTTGGTAAAGTGGAGGATCAGCACAAAAGAGGAAAATCCCCAATGAGATGGATTGGCAGCAGAAATGGGCTCAAGTGTAACAACTATAGTGAGGTTGGCCCAGGCCTGGGTAGTGTTTCAATCTGTTTTGCATAGAGTCTCTATGAGTTGGAATTCACCTGAAGGCACTTAACAACAACAACAGGCTTTTAAAATCTTTTTGTTGTTGTTAGGTGCCATCAAGTTGGTTCTGACTCATAAGCACCTGCATAGGATTTCAAAGACTTTTTAAATCTTTGCAAGGGCAGAAAGCCTCATCTTTCTTCTGCAGAGTGTCTAGTGGGATTAAGCCATTGGCCTTATGGTTCCCAGTTCAGTGCTTATCCTATGGATCCTCCCACTGATGTTGAGTGCTTTCGAGTCAGTCCTGACTCATAGCTACCCTGTATAGAGTTTCGGAGGAGCAGCTGGTGAGCTTGAACCACCGACCTTGCGGTTCAAACAAATGCAGTCCAGTGCATTAACCCACAGCACCACACCAGGACACACACAAAAAAAGTAGTAAGATTGCACCCTGTCTAAGGTGGAAAAGTTGCTAGACCCAGAAAAATAAGATGGTCCCTTTGAGCTCTGCTCTTAACAGGTTTCACTGCACAATTATTCTGAGTTGTCAGAGGAGGAACTGAAAAACTCAGACTGGCTGCCAAAGGTCAACAGGTTGCCTGTGGCAGTGGTGGCAGACCATGCTCTGTGCCTCCAGGTGCAGTGTTCTTTGCCTGGCAGCATTTTACTGGAGGTGCTTCTCCAGGGTGAAGCACATAGAGTTCACTTAGGAAGGAGCTAGCCCCAAACGCCCCGAGCATCTGCAATGTTTTCCTGTGTTCTCACAGTTCCTGCGTCTGCACAACAGGCGCTTTTGATTTAAGTGTTCCTGCTTTCATTATAACTGTAAAACTGTAACCCGGCCCCTTCTCTTTATATGACTGGATCTGTTCTCATGAAAGGACAACAGTGACAAAAGAGCCTAGACAATGTGATTACTGCAGGAGCAGGCCTGGGGCTTCTGATAACTACAAAAGCCATTTTTCATTGTGATTCCAATGCTGCTGACATGAATTGGATAAAGAAGAGGAGGCTGGAGCTGCTCATTCTCCTTGGGGCTGAGAGCAGGGAACCTCTTTTGGCTTTTCTCAGCATTCCTTCTCAACTGACAAGCAGTGCCTTATCTGTTCTGAGGTCTCAGAAGTCACAGCTGTTTTTGCAGTCAGTGCACAATACATACTCAGGTACTGGAGGATGGTTGTGTCCTGTTTTTAGGTTTATCAATTGTTGTTGTTGTTGTGTGTCGTCGAGCCAGTTCCAACTTATAGCAACTCTGTAAAGGGTTTCCAAGAGTGACTGGTGGGTTTGAACAGCTGGCCTGTGGTTAGCAGACCAGTGTTTTGCCTACAGCACCACACCAGGTCTTTTACCATTATTACTTACAAGCTTTTTAACTGCCAACGAGGTATTTTTCTTTCCTTACTGTCTCTCTTACTTCAATTTGAGGGCACTCATAGGAGTCCTGGTATGTGGCTGTGGGCTAATGCGCCAGACTGCAAAGCCGTTTGAACTTCAAGGTCGGCAGTTCAAGCTCACCAACTGCTCCTCGGAAACCCTATACAGGGTCGCTATGGGTTGGAACCAACTCGATGACACTTCACAACAACAACAGTACTTTCTATATGGAGTCCTGATGTGACGCTATGGGTGAATGCACTGGACTGCCAAGTCAGTTTGAGCCGCAAGGTCAGTGGTTCAAGCTCACCAGCCGTTTCTCAGAAACCCTATGGACACTATGGGTCAGAACCAACTCAATGGCACTTAACAACAACAACAATATATTCCATAATTTTTAAAATCACCTTTTTAAAAAGGCCTTCCCAGACCACCTATGTAATATATCACCCACCCTAACCCTACTCTTTTCACTTTCTATCCCCTTTAACCTGCTTCCTGAGTTTCTTCATCATACTTCTCTCCGCTCAACATATTCTATGTTTATACTTTGTCATCTTTTTGTCTGGCTCTGGTAACTAGAACCTGATGTCCATAGGAGTAGGTTTTGTGTCTCTTTTGTTTACTATTGTATCCTCAGTGCCTAGACGAGTGCCCTGCACATAGTGTAGAGTGCAGTTAAATATCTCTTGATTGAATTAAGGGACTATTACATCATCTCCCCCAGTGCCTAGTACTACCTGGGTTTGCCATATAAAAGACCTGAAAAAAAAAAAAAAAGTCAGTCCACTGCCACTGAGTAAATTCCAACTCTTAGCGGCCGTATTTAGGGTTCCTAAGACTGTGAATCTTTATGGGAGCAGACAATCTCATCTTTCTGGTGAGTTTGAACTGCCAACCTTGTGGCTCAAAGCCCAGTGCCTAGCCTACAGCACCACCAGGGCTCCTTATAAAAGACCTTAGTAAAATAAAAAACTAGAAGTCATAGCCAGAAGGAAGAAAAAAACAAAACATCTTAACCTACCTTTTTTTAATAGCCAAAATTTCTAGTCTACGCTTGACTGATGGACTGGAAGAAGGAAAAGGTTCAGAAGGAGAGAAATGCCTGAAGTGTTGAGTCCGAAATGTCCTGAGCTCTCAAATCACACTGGGCACTGCTGGGTCCCATCATCTGCTTGAACCTTTCCTCCCCCACATGGATTTGGAGGCAGTCACACATGAGCCATCGACTTGCTCATTTCATATTCAATTAACAAAAGCAATGTTTGTGTTTCATTTATTTCATTGAATTGGTTGGTAGGAGAGAGGGGAAAAGCGCTGTTATTCCAGTTTTTTTTAACTCCACTGACTTGCTACAGATTTTTTCTGGAACTGGTGAGAAACGAGGACCAAAAGCCCACTTTTGTTTTGTTTTGTTTCCATGGTTTCTGCGAAGTCCACCTGGAAAATCTCTGTTGACCAGCTAGTTGTTGTCTAGTTGATTCCAACTCCTGGAGACTCCATGCGTGTCAGAATAAAACTGGGCTACAAGTGGTTTTCAGCAGTTAATTTTCCAGAAGTTGATCTAGAGACTTTTGTTCCAAGGCCCCTCTGGGTGGACTCAAACCTCCAAACTTTTGGAAAGCATCTGAGTGTGCTAGCTGTTTGTACCACTCAAGGACTAGGAAAAACGTTTAGTTGTTATTTAAGCTCTAGATCAAATATGGCCTCTTCTGTGATGCTTTCCTTAAACATCTCACAAAAAGGTTCTCCAATCCCTCCTGGGCACCACCACTCAGCCAAAATTACGCTGCTATTGGTCTCATCATCTGCTTTACTTAACTGATTATCTCTTACTAATTCTGAGGACTGTTATTGTTATTGTTGTTAAGTGCCATCAAGTTGGTTTTGACTATTAGCAATCCTGTATAGGGTTTCCAAGGAGCAGCTGGTGTGTTTGAACTACCGAACTTACAGTAAATTCAAGTCCAGTACTTGTTGTTGTTGTTGTTGTTGTTAGTGCTGTCAAGTCAGCTCCAACTCATAGCAGTTCTGTATAGGATTTTGATTGAATTTAGAAACTATTACATCATCTCCCCCAGTGCCTAGTACTACCTGTTAAGTGCTATCAAGTGCTGTCAAGTCAGTTTCAACTCGTAACAGCCCTGTATAGGATTTCCAAATAGCAACTGGTGGGTTTTGAACTGCCAACCTTGTGGCTCAAAGTCCAGTGCTGATCCTACAGTGCCACACCAGGAGTCCAGCCCAGTACTTGTTGTTGTTGAGTACCATCTAGTTAGTTCTACCGACCTTATGTAGGATTTCCAAAGAGCAGCTGGTGAGTTTGAACTGTCGACTGTGAGGTTTGAATAACCTGTTAGTCCCAGCCAGAAATGGTCTCATGGTGCTTTATCCCTCCAGTGTCCAGTTCATGAGTCAGAATCAACTTCACAGCAATGGATTTGGAGGTTTATTTGGTTTTTGGACCTGTTTAAGTGCCTGGTACATAGTTGCTACTCAGTAAAGGCTAAGAAAATGAAATGTGAATAAAAGAGGAAACAAGAGACTGTATACTCCAGCCAGTCACTCAGCTATTGCATTTTGGGAGTCATCCTTGTGGTGATACTATTTGATCACTTTTTTTTTGGTCTTCATTAGGTACTCTGATTGTCTTGAAGCATCCCTATCCAAAGGAAGTGGAAGAACCATCCATTTACGAATCTGTGCGGGTTCACACAGCAATGCAGACAGGAAGAACAGAAAATGACCTTGTGCCCACTGCTCCTTCTGTAAGTGATCGCCACCTGAGCACAGCTCTCTTGTTGTGCAAAAGTTTTACGTGTAACAAGAACTACACACTTTTTAAACTACAGTTTCTTTTTTATTCTAATTTGGGATGCAAAACTCTAACAAGAAGGTAAAGTTTGAAGCCCATGGCTCACTCATCTGGTCCAGGGTAAATGCATGAAAAATATATATGAGGCAATAGTGATAAGAATTAAAATACTTTAAAAAATGACACTTGAATTCTCATCCTTAGCCAAATAAGCTCATGATAAAATGGGTTGAGTAAACTGTTCTTCTTAGCCAAGGTTTTTCAATTTACTTTTTTTTAAAAAAACATTTCAACTGCCTATGGCAGAAAAATAGTCTCTACTTTTACAATAAAACTTCAAGATGTCATTTCTCTCCCCAATCTTTTTTCTTTCACTGAATGAAGTATGCAGAAGAGAAAACATCTGCACATCTTTGCAATCCAGGCCATTGTTCAGTTTCAGAGCAACTGGGGCATTCATTGTTCTTCTGAGATTCCATTTATGTTTGTTCTGAGAACCGTGACCCTGCTACCATTTCTCTCCAGCACTCCCTTCCTTTCATTATTTTCAAGCCTCCTCTATTCTTTTCCTCTCCCCTGTTTTTTGAATAGTCCTGGTAAAAGTGACCTGGATTTGCACAGATGTGAAAGAAGCCAGTACACACATGAAATATCAAGAACTGCTCTTAGGTGACAATCATTATACTTGAAAAATAGTCACTGGAAGAGATTTAGCTACAAATTATATTAAATCATGTGACCTTTCTATCTCTGCAGTACATTTTCTACTCAGCCATTGGAGAGCTCTTTCTTTCATAGCAGATTTATCACATGACCTCCATGATTCACAGGCTTCAGTTTTGCTCACACTTCTTATGGACCACCTGGGCCCTGCTCACCTCTCTGGCCTCATCTACTGCCAATCCCACACTCATGACCCCTGTCCAAAGCATCCCTCGGAATGCGCTCCTTCTCCTCTTCATGCATTTGGAATATTTCCAACACCGCTTGTTGTTCACTCATCCTTTAAGACAACTGTCAGTGGTTAATATCATCCAGAAAACCTTCCTTGACTCCCACTAGCTTCTGTTTATATGCCGCTCTTCTGTGCTCCAGAACACTGTCTGCTTACAAGTACCTAGAATTATCAAACTGTAACATTAAAAAAAAAAAAAAAGTTGCTATGGAAATCCCAAATGTTTCAGAACAAAACTGCACTCTATAGGATTTTCAGTGGTTGTGATCTTTCAGAGTAGGTGACCAGGCCTTTCTTCTGCTGTCCTTTTGGGTGGATGTGACTCTTTCAGTTAGTAGTAGAACACTCAATCATTTGGGCCACCCAGAAACTCCTTATTTTAGCATTTGTTGTTGCATGCCATCAAATCAATCCGTACTCAGGATAACCCTGTATGACAGAATAGAACTGTATCAAAGCATAATCTTTACCGAAGTGAATCCCTACGACTTTTCTCCTACTAAGTGACTGGCTGATCTTGAACTAATAACCTTTCAGTTAGCAGCTGAATGATTAACTTCTGTCCCTCAGGGCTCCTTCATTGTATCATATATACCTGCAAAGAGAACTTAAAATACTTACTAATGAAGGTGAAAGACCACAGCCTTCAGTATGGGTGACATCTCAATGTAAAGAAAGCAAAAATTCTCACCACTGGGTCAATAAACAACATCCATATAAATGGAGAAAAGATTGAAGTTGTCAAAGACTTAATTTTGCTTGTGTCCACCATCTACACTCATGGAAGCAGAAGTTAATAAATTAAACAATGCATTGCATTAGGCAAATCTGCTGTGCATGACCTCTTTAAAGTGTTGAAGAGCAAAGATGTCAGCTTAAGGACTAAGGTGTGCCTGATCCTTGCCATGGTATTTTCAATAACCTCATATGCATGTGAAAGCTGGACAGTGAATATGGAAAACCGTAGAAGAATTGATTAATTTGAGTTATGGTGTTGGAGGAGAATACTGAAAGTATCATAGACTGCCAAAAGAACAAAGAAATCTGTGTTGGAAGAAGTACAACCAGAGATCTTCTTGGAAGTCAGGATGGACAGACTTTGTCTCTCATACTTCTAACATATTATCAGGAGGGATCAGTCCTTGGGAATGGATATCATGTTTGGTAAAGTGGAGGGTTGGAAAAAAAGAGGAAGACCCCCCCAATGAGATGGATTGGCACAGTGGCTGCAGTGATGGACTCAAGTGTAACAATTGTGAGGTTGGCTCAGAATCAGTCAGTGTTTCATTCTGTTGTGCATAAGGTCACTATGAGTTGGCACTGACTTGATGGCATATAACAAAACAACAATCTACCTGCAAATGTTTCTGCCCTCTCCACCTCCCTGTGACTGCCTGTGGACAAGGAGCATAGCTTGTCTTTGCAGTTTTATAGCCTAGTTTAACTCATGTAGCATGGTATCAATTTATTATTATGCTACATCTAGAAAAAATCCTGGAAATGGGTTGAGAAAGTTTGGGAAAGATAAGTTGTTGTTAAGTGCATCAAGGTGGTTCTGACCAATAGCAGCTCTGTATAGGGTTTCCAAGGAGCAGCAGGTGATCTCGAACCATCAACATTGTGGTTCAAACCAACTTTGCAGTCCAATGCATTAACCCACAGCTCCTCACTAGGACACCTAAGAAAGGTGGTATTGTTGCTAGATGCCATTGAGTCAGTAATGAGCCATAGCAACCCTATGCACAGCAGAAGGAAATACTGCCCCGTCCTGGGCCAACCTCACTATTGTTGCCATGCTTGAGTCCATCGATGCTACTACTTGGCCAATCCATCTTGTCCTCTTTTCCTCTGACCCTCCACCTTACCAAACATGATATCCTTCTCCAGCAACTGCTTCCTCCTGACAATAGGTTGAAAGTATGAGAGACGAAGTTTGGCCATCTTGGCCTCCAAAGAGCACTCTGGCTGCACTTCTTCTAAAACAGATCTATTGGTTCTTTTGGCAGCCCATGACACTTCCAATATTCTTCTCCAACACCATAACTCAAAGGTATCAATTCTTCTACGGTCTTCCTTATTCACTGTCCAGCTTTCGCATCCATATGAGGTTATTGAAAATATCACAGATTGGGTCAGGCACACCTTAGTCCTCAAACTGACATCTTTGCTCTGCAACACTTTAAAAAGGCCTTGTGCAGCAGATTTCCATAACGCAATATGTTGTCTGATCTCTTGACTGCTGCTTCCGCGAGTGTTGATAGTTGATCCAAGAAGAATGAAGTCCTTGACAACTTCAATCTTTTCTCCATTGATAAGAATGTTGTTTATTGGTCCAGTGATGATGATTTTTGTTTCCTTGACATTGAGATGTAATCCATACTGAAGGCTGTGCTCTTTGATCTTCATCAGTAAATGTTTTAAGTCCTCTTCACTTTCAGCAAGCAAGGTTGTATCATCTGCATATCACAGATTGTTAATGAGTCTTCCTCCAATCCTGATGCCCACGTTTTTCTTCATAGAACCCAGCTTCTCAGATTATTTGCTCAGCATACAGGTTGAATAAGCATGGTGAAAGAATACAACCTTGTCGCACACCTTTCTTAATTTTAAAACGTTCAGTGTTCCCATGTTCTGTTTGAACAACTGCCTCTTGGTCCAGATACAAATTCCTCCTGAGCACAATTAAGTGTTCCAGAATACTCATACGTCACAATGTTGTCCATAGCTTGTCATGATCCACACAATCAAAAGCCTTTGCATAGTCAATAAAGCACAGGTAAATATCTTTCTGATGGTCTCTGGTTTCAGCCAAGATCCATTGGACATCAGCAATGAGATCTCTCATTCCACAACCTCTTCTGAATCCGGCTTGAACCTCTGGAAGTTCTCTGTCAATGTATGATTGTAGCCGTTTTTGTGTTACCTTTAGCTAGGAAAGATACGTGACCTCAAAGCTATAGAAAATAAGAGAAGTAGGATGATAAATAGTCCAAAGTCAAAAAAGGCCATGGAACAAGTTAAGACTTATCCTCTAACTAAATTTTAGTTTCAGTCAACCAGTTTGATTCTAACCTTCCCCTTTACTCATCTTTATCCCAACACCAATCACTTCAGCACCACTCTAACCTGGACTTCAAGTTTGACTTCACCTTTTCCTTCTGTTACACTTACTCTGGAGTCTTGGTGTGGCACTGTGGGTTAATGCGCTGGACTGCAAAGTTGGCTTGAACAGCATGGTCAGTGGTTCAAGCTCACCAGTCAGTCACTCTTCAGAAACCCTATACAGGATTGATGCAAGTTGGAACCAACTTGATGGCACTAACAACAACAACACACTTATCCTAGTGATCTCCAGTCATAGTCAATGAAGCTATATGCTGCTGTGTGCCCTCACATAAACTGCCAAGTACGGATGTAGACTATGGGCTACCGGAATGACTCATGTTCAGTATCCCAGCATCACAGCATCACACAGCCACCACAGTACGACCAAGTGACAGATGAGTGACAGACTAAGACGGACTAGGAAGAAGGAGAGGAAGACTACTTCTTAATGTTTACCCACTGAAAACCTTGTGATTAGGAATAGAACACTATCAGATAGCACCAGAATATTGAATGTTGAACATGATGAATAGTACCAGAATATTTTCAAATATAGTGCTAGAAAATTAGACCCTCAGATTGGAAAGACAGATAATATTCTATGCATTAGTAAACTGAAATGGACTGGTATTGGCATTTTGAATCTAATAATCATATGATTTTCTATGCCGGGAAAGACATATTGAAGAGGAATGGAGTCGCATTCATCAACAAAAAGAACATTTCAAGATCTATCTTGAAGTACAATGTGTCTGTGATAGAATAATATCTATACGCCTACAAGAAAAGTTAATGTCACTATTATTCAAATTTATGCACCAATCACTAAAGCAGAGATGATGAAATTGAACTTCTTCACCTGAAATTGATCAAACATTCAATAAAGATATATA